ACTCTGTTTATCAGTGTTTTCCACCTATATATATTGTGTTATAGTTAGGTTGCTAGTTAGCTATTTTGTCACTTGGTTTATGGTTCAGAAATATATTCTCTTTTGCTGTGTATTCTGTTTTCTGGTGTCTATTTTCTTGTTTTATTATTAATAAATGTTACTTTCATCTATGCAGTCTGATTTCAGTTTTTCAAGTACAGCTACACTGAATTGAAGATCAGAGAGTACAGCTTGCATGTTTTCCGGATCTTTTCTGCATAGGTTTGCCACTCTTAACACCTAGCTCATAGGAGTAGTGATGCTGCTGTGAGTACTCCTGTCAACTCAGGGACATCATAAAAAAATCATGAAACCCGATAGATCCCCCCCCCCCCCCTTCCTCAGTGAGAGCTTGGTAGAAACATACTGCCTTTGTGCTAGAGTACACCCTCTATCAGGCCCCCCTTCTGATAGGCTTGGTACAAGAGTGCTGCCTTGGTACAAGAGTATCACCTAATAGGAGTTATTGGAATAAAAGTACCTCTCTATCGGCTGGGAACCATGTAATGTGTAGTTCTGGGTTGGCAAAGTTATAAACCCTTAGCATCACATTGATACCTTTGCATTTGTTGGCAGTCAGGGTATGTGAGAAAGCAAATTAATAAGATAAGATGGCATAACATTAATACATTTTCATTTGTTGGCAGTCAAGATATGTGAGGAAGTGAATTAATAAAATAAAATAATAAACTCCAAACTAATTAGGTTGAGTTGAGCGTCTTTTTATGTTTGAGAAGCTTTTAGGAAACACACAAGCCATGTGTCTGCAGTCATGCTGCTTTACAGCAGGAAACATATTAAAATGTATCATACAGTGCTGGGGACAGGAGTGTAACATACAACATAGCATATACAATGCAGGAGGCATGCGTTTAATGTACAACATTGTGTATACAGTGAAGGGGATACAAATATAATGTACAACACAGTGAGTACAGTGCAGGAGACAGGAGTATAATGTATAATACAGTGCAGGGCCAAACTATAACAGACAGCATAGCATATACAGTGCAGGGGACAGGCCAGGGGCGGACTGACAACTCATGGGGCCCCCGGTAATAGGAAATCATGGGGCCCCTGTGTCCTCACCCACACTCAAACCACACCAAAAAAAGCCTATGAAAGGTACCAGGGGCATCACATGAGGCCTCCTACTGACACGGGCCCTCTGGCAATGCGCCTAAATGGTCAGTCCGCCCCTGCATGTAAAATACAACATAATGACAGTGCAGGGGTGACGTATAAGTGCATATGAAGGATCATAGGGAAAAGTACAATGCACAACAAAGTAAATGCCGTTCAGGGGCCAGGTGTATAATAAACAACATAACAACATAGTGAATGCAACACAGTGGCCAGGATTATGTAAGATACAGTACTGTGTACAGCATGCAGTGGTTAGAAATATTGTGCCCCTTACTACTGGTTAGTGATGGGCTGCATGTTATGTTCAACTCGAACATGGCTGAACAGTACGGGCATTCGACGATCTGTCCGCCTGCTGCACCCCACAATGCACTGCTCCCTGACAGTGTGACAGGTCAGGTGCAATGCTCTGGTCAATCATAGGACATCATGACATCACAAGGGGGCAGGGATGATCCTGTGCCTTTTGATATCATCACCCTATTTAAGAACTGCCATCCTGGTGCAGCTGTCAGACAGTGGGAGCCAGCGTTGATGACGGAGCAGATTTTTTTCCTCTTTTTTTGGGGTTGACTGTGGTGGCAGGCATAGTGATTGACATTGGATCTACTTCGGAGGATATTTTTTAAATTTTTATTTTTAACTTCCCTAGCGGTATTCACGAGTGTGGCTCGGGGTAAAGTTTAGGTACCAAAAACGGTAACCCCGAGCTACACTCGGGCTTACCATGCGGCGTTGCTCAGGGATTCCCTGCAGCGCTTACCTTGTCCTTCGCTCCCGCGATGTGTCCCCTGCAGCATCCCCGGCCATCTCCTCCGGCCGATGTTGGGATTTGGCTTCCGTGTTCCGGTCCCTGCGAGCATCGGGACGTTCGGGGGGCCGGAACCGGCGGCAAATTTAAAAATTTTTAGAAACTGTCATTTTCTAAGAAATGAATTTGACATAGTAAAACATTACTGTATCAAAACATTTCACATACATTTGTCCCTACTGCTTTGTCATGTGCTCTGCCTGCATTTTGACTGTTCCTTCTGCCTGGAAACTTAGAAAAGTCCATGGCGTCCAAAAAGTCCCTTTTGGTCAAAAGCGGTTTTAGACCGACTAGAGAACAGCGAAAGTAAATCAGAACCACTTGAGTGATAATGATTTGTGGGGAAATTCGTCATCAGACACTGAAAACGATTTTGCGACTTTGCTCAGCGATGTGTGAACTTGGCGCTATATTTCAAATTTCAGTGTTTTTGGTTTGATTATATTATTGAATTAAATTTATTATTATTATGTTATTAATTTTATGATTATTTATTAAATTATAATTTATGATTTTGTGTTTCAAGTTTTATCCTACCCGGAATGTTTACTAGACTCTTGTTCGGACAGATTTCAGCGAGTTATTTCTAAAAATTACAGGCCTACAATAAATAAATACATATTTCCATGCAAAAAAATTTACCGCTTTCAGCACAGAAATATGGGCATAATCATACCGCTAGGGAGGTTAATAAAGGACTTGTCAAAGACTGTCTCCTGTCTTTTTTTACACTACACTTTTTGTGTGAATGAGTAGTGGTACCATGTACCACATACTCATTCTCATGGGGTGGCGGGATCTGGGGGCTTGCAGACCCCCACAACCACTTGCTAGGGTAATAGGGAAGAGGCCCTTGTCCCCATCAACATGGTGACAAGGTGTTTTGGGGGGGCCCTGCCCCAAAGCACCCCTCATGTTGAGGGCATGTGGTCTGGTATGGTTCCTGACCTGCCAGGCTGCATGCTCAGATAAGGGTCTGGTATGGATTTTGGGGGGGACCCCCATGCCATTATTTTATAAAATGTTGGAATTGGGGGTTCCCCCTCAAATTCCATACCAGACCCGAAGGGCTTGGTATGGATGGGAAGGGGGACCCTATGCCATATATTTTTAAAACATTTTTTAATTGTCGGGCAATGCCGAAAATCCTTTTGACATTCATCTGTCAGCAGGGAACCCCGCTGACAGCTGAAACATGAATGAATGCTTCACTACTACAAATACCGCATGACTTAAAACTCATGCGTTATTTTAGTAACTGAGCGGTTTCTTACCGCATACTCGTACTTACCGCTCAGTAAATTGTCCATGTTTGACGTTCGCAATCGAACTTTTGGTTGGTTCGAATGTTCGACAGCAAACCAAAGAGGGGGTGTTCAGCCCATCACTGCTACTGGTCAGTTGCCAAAAACACAGAGCAATGTGCTGAGTTGTCTTGGACAAAAAATAAGGATCTTCATAGAAATTATGTTACTGGATTTTGTAATATACTAGAGAAGGGCTTCATATGAAAACACTGCACCTAGGGCAGTCGCCACTCTTGCACCCCTCTCATCCTGGCTATTGGGATATGTCATTGACTTTATTTGCCGCTTTTATTTTGTTTTTGCCTTCAGTGAAAATGTAGGTTTAAGATAATGCTAAGTTCTAACTTCATGTAACTAGTTTCTGTAAGACAAGAGCTGAGTACAGCCCTAGCAGAAATTAGTGTCCTTACCCACCCCTTATAGGATGCTCTCTAATTGACTAAATGACAGGGCTATTTTGATGATCATTGATCAACAATGCATTTATAATTTTGAACATGTTTATAAAATATTACAGAAATGTCCACTTGAAAAAATGTGTGCAGAATTTGTACTGGGGGGTAGGCTTTTAGTTTTTCCATCTATTTAAAATATCATTAGCAATGAAACCAAAACATGTTTTTGTAGGAAAACTACCCTTAAGGGCTTTATTTTGTAAAGCTGACTCTTATCCATCAGGAGAATTGGTCTTAAATGTCAACAAAAGTACATTTCTGCCAGAAATCATATCCCAGTTACCTTTCATTCATATCAGGTTGACATTATTTTCAGGAACACTTTTATAATTATTTACATTACAGTGTTCAAGATAAATGCTTAGAAACAGAACAGGGCAAATTTCAATTAAATGCTGTAAAACTAAGTGAATACTGCATGACGTTGATGAAAAAAATGACTTTATAGATGTTAGGAATTTTAGGACGCAAGGATTAGTGTTCATGGTAGAAAGGTAAGACTCGCTTGTGGTCCAGTGATTTGATAAATGAAAAATCTTTGGCAGTTACTTTTTCCTGCAAATCATGCTGCAGATTCCTGCTTTTACACTAACCTGTATCTTTGCAGCATCCCCAAAGATTTCTTAGAAACATTTTGTTTGATACCCTTTGAATTGCCTGACTGGGGGACTATTTTCTAACTATATGACTAGGGGAAAAAGAGATTTGTTAGTATATCATATTAAAATACATAACATAACTTTGGCAGGATAAAAGAATAATTGTTTTTAGGTGTATTGTGTGCAGTGAATTGTATCTATGTTGTACCTTTAAAATGTTACTAAACCCATGGCCCTGCATTCAATATATCTAGTCTCCCATTGTACACAGGACATGAAAGTGCAATTATTTTAGTAAATATAAACTGTTAAATACCTTTCTCATCAGCAGTTAGAGTGCTCTTATGACTTCTATCATTGTCCAGCCGAGCACTGGTTAAAGCTTGTAGGAGAAGTTTTCCTTCTCCTTTGACTGTCCTATGAGGCTGCATGACCCCTGACCTGCTGTGTGGACAGTGGTGATCACATGCACCCTCCCAAAAAAACAAAACTCTCTAACAATACACACCGAACTGAGCAGGTGCAGAGTGTCTCCTACAGCTCTGTACTATTAGCTGATGGATTGAGGACTGTGGAATAAGGGGAGGATCAGAGAAGACAGGATCAAACAGCCTTTTTCCACAATGCAAAGGATTGACCCCTTAATTTCCACAGTGAATATAACAAGCATGCTTTACTGCATATACAGACTGATTTTACTGTTGTGGGTTTCGTAACACTTTAAGGCATGTTTTAGATGTGCTGTAAACTGCATTAAAGAAAACTTACAGATCACCATACGGACATATCCGATGTTCCTGCAGTAATCTCCCCACTGTGCTATTTTGTTCTGACAAGGGGACCACCCCCCCACCACGACACACTGATCAGTCCTCACAGCCATTGGCTGTCAATGCTGATTGGATGCTGGTTTTCCAGTATGCCAATCCAATAGAAGCCAGTCATAAAACCAGCTTCTGTCAGACAAGGAGCTGTACACACTTGCAGAACTGACCGACCGTTGCTGTGGCCCACTAACCCATATCTCTTGCAGTGCTGAGGAACAAGGACAAAGTGTGGTCTCTGACAATTAAATCAAGTGAATGCTATGTTGGTCTATTTAATGGTATTATGTACGTATAAGTGGAGTGTGTGCCAGTTCTTAGCTTCATCACCAGAGATTGTACCAATCCACATCATTTTAAATAGAAAAAATCTGTAAAATGACCACTGAATGTGTGCTTGGTTTCTTTATGATATGTGTATTATTTACATAGCTGGAGGAGCTTAAAGGAGAAGTACAGCTAAAGCTCTTTTGGCTATACTTTTGTGAATCACAGGAGTGCAATTTGTTCTGCACTCCTGTGACCTGTTTTCAGCCGACAGGCGGTGAGAACTCATGTGATTGCCGAATTCTTACACTTAGAGTCAGTAGGGGACAGATGCAGCATCGGAGCGGTAAGTATAAATGGGGGGAAAAAAATAAGTCCACACTTTTCTTTTAAACACAGCCTACAGACCACATTTTTGAAAAATGGCTTTTGACTGCTGATAAGCAATGTGTTCATTTCCAAACATCATCTGACTTCCATTACATCAAATATGTCCATGAAGTTTGCAGGATCAGCTTGAAAACAGGCTAACAAGTCAGATGATGTCTGGAAATGCACACATTGTTGATCAGCAGTCAAAAGCCATTTTTCAAAACTGCGGTGTATAGACTTTGTTTAAGTTCCTGCAGCGGCATAAATAACATGTGTATCGCAATGTCAACCAAACACACATAAGATGGACACTTTACTGACTTTTCCTATTTCTAAACTATGTGGATTGTTCCGCTCTGTGGTAATGAGGCTAAAAATGGTTCAATCAACCCTCGCAATGAATTAACCACTTCAATACCAGGCACTTATACCTTCCTTCCCAGGCCAATTTTCAGCTTTCAGCACTGTCACACTTTGAATGACAATTACGCGGTCATGCAACATTGTACCCATGTGAAATTTTTATCATTTTTTTCACACAAATAGAGATTTCTTTTGGTGGTATGTAATCACCGCTGAGTTTTTTATTTTTTGCTAAATAAAACAAAAAACACCTGAAACCTTTGAAAAAAAACCCACACTCGTTTCTGTTATTAAATTTTGGCAATAAATAACATTTCTTCATAAATTTAGGTCAAAATGTATTCTGCTACATTTCTTTGGTGAAAATAATAATTCAATTTGTACTTTTTTTCAAATGTTTCTATTATTTTTTTATTAATTTTTTTTCTTTTTTTCACTATTTTATTTTTCAGCAAACTGTGACCAAAACAATACAATGTTACCATAGTAACATTGAACTACTCCTGGGCAAGTTATCAGGATTTTTTTTTTAACACATTATAATTGCTAATACCAATGTATTTAATTGATATTTGCAATTATTGTTACTGAATGAAACTGATTCATTCAGTCTTTTGTTGTGATTAGCTGTGATTGGGCAAAGCTGACCACATGATACAGATGGGCTGTGATTGGTCCTGTCTGTATCATGTGACTGCCTTGACCAGTCACAGCTAACAACATAATTGTATACAATGGATGGCATGACAGGAAGCCATCCATTGTATACAATTGACATGTGATCTGCTGTGATTGGTCACATGACACTGGCAACAGGTCGGTCTAGTGATATGTCATTGGCTGTGTCCCGTGGACACAGCCAGTGACAGATTGTGACGCTGGGTGGCTCGTTTTGACAGAACGTCATATGACGCCCAGTCACAACGGCGAATGTCCTGCCCGGCTGTCAATCTGCTATAGGCAAGGCGGGAAGGTGTTAAAGTGTATGTAGAAGTAAAACCTTTTTTTTAAGAATAGAGAAGGGTAAAACCCCTGA